GGGTTCATGATTTAGATATAAAGGCTGATACCATAAGCAAACTGGGAGAGCAAGGAATAGTTTACCTGTCAGATTTATGGAGAAAAGAAGAATTTATGACCAAATAAAAGATAGAGAACATTATGAAATGCAAAATGGATAATTTTGATTACATTAAATTGAAAAGTTTTTGCACAAACAAAGCCAATGCAATGAAGGTTAGGAGGGAAGCAGAAAACTAGTAAAGAATTTTTACAACCAATGTCTCTGATAAGGGCTTCATTTCTAAAATATATAGAGAACTAAGTCAAATTTATAAGAATACAAGTCATTCTCCAATTGGTAAATGGTCAAAGGATATTAATAGGCAGTTTTCAGATGAAGAAATTAAAGCCATCTATAGTCAAATGAAAAAATGTTCTAAATCACTATTGATTAGAGAAATGCAAATCAAAACAACTCTGAGATACCACATCACACCTATCAGATTGGCCAACATGACAAAACAGGAAAATGAAAAATGTTGAAGAAGATGTGGGAAAATTGAACACTAATGCATTGTTGGTGGAGTTGTGAAATGATCCAACCATTTTGGAAAGCAATTTGGAACTATGCCCAAAGGGCTATAAAAATATGCATAACCTTTGACCCAGCAATAGCACTTCTAGGACTGTATCCCAAAGAGATCATAAAAATGGGAAAAGGACCCACATGTACAAAAATATTTACAGCAGCTCTTTTTGTGGTGGCAAAGAATTGGAAATTGAGGGAATGTCCATCAACTGGGGAATGGCTGAAGAAGTTGTGGTATATGAATGTAATGGAATACTATTGTGCTATAAGAAATGATGGGCAGGCAGACTTCAGAAAAACCCAGAAAGACTTGTATGGACTGATGCTCAGTGAAGTGAGCAGAACCAGGAGAACATTGTACACAGTAACTGTTGTGTTGTTTGATGACTAACATTGATAGACTTAGCCCTTCTCAGAAATGTAAAGATCTAAGACATCTCCAAAAGTCTCATGATGGAAAATACTATCCACATTCAAAGAAAGAACTATAGAGTTTGAATGCAGATCGAAGCATACTATTTGCTATTTTTTTCCTTCTGTTTTGTTCCCTCTTTCTTGTGGTTCCTCCTATTGGTTCTGATTCTTCCTTACAACATGACTAATGTGAAAATGTTTAATAGGAATGTATATATAGAGCCTATATCAGATTGTGTGCCATCTTGTGAGGGAAGTGGGGGGGGGGGGGGGAATTTAAAACTCAAAAGCTTATGGAACTGATTGTTGATAACTCAAAATAAATTAATAATAAATAAATAAATAAATGAATGAATAGCAAGCAATGTTGGAAATTGGAGAGTTAAAACATTTGGCTCAAAGAGAGAGCAGTTAGCTAAGTCCCTGAGAGGGAATCATTTGGAACAAAGAGAGGACAGAGAGCATCTGTCTCCTTTTCTGCTCCTAAGAAAAATTTTATGAGTGCTCAATGAAGTGGAGAGGAGTTCCAGCACCAAGAAATGTGAGTTACTCCTTTGCCACATTTTAGCTAAGAACCCCCTTTTCTCTCAACTCCTAGTAGTGGGAAAGTATGTGTATGTGGGTGGAAGGAGGGGAAAGAGGTTATTTTCTATGTTAGTAAATACCCCTTTCCTGAATGCTAATTAATTCTGATTGGGAAACTGACCCAAAATATAACAGTAGAGGAAAGCATACTGTTAGGGGCTTCTGAGATACAGAATTACAAAAATCAGCCCCTAAGGGTCCTCTAGAAACATGAGGGAAGATGTTGCAGCCTTCTGAGGACCCAACTTGCCAGTATGAATGGGAGTTGGGTTAGGAGTCCAAGAGTACATACTGTTGTTAACTTTTAATAATGATGATATTGATGATGATGATGATGATGATGATAGAATACACCACACAATAAGGTTTACACATAGTTTTCTTTGTAACAACTTTGTGAGACAGGTAGTACAAGAATTATTATCGCCATATTACAGATAAGGAAAGAGAATTTAAGTGACTTGCCCAAGGTCACAAAGCTAATAAGTGTCAGAGAGTTGGATTTGAATTTCAGGTCTCCTGATTCCAAATCCAATACTCTTTCCACATTACCAAAATATGTCTCTGCAGTGATTACAGCCACAAAACTTACTCACCACACAATCCATCACTTATGTATGTGGAAGGGCACCCTGGACTTGTTTTCTTGAGTTGCCCTGTTTTCCAGAGATGAAATCTGTCTCCCATACCCCTCCAAACTAACATAACAGTGATCTTTTGTGACAACTCTACTAAATTTTCAGTGCCCTTGGAGGTTCAGTCAACTATAAGCCTGGCTCCAACCAGACTGATAAACTGTGCAGCTGGGACCTTTTCAGATTAGCAGAACATTCTATCCTACCTCCATGGTCTGATGTTCCCAAACCCTCCTCCTACCTCTCACCCCCTTCTTTCTCCCATGCCACTCCTGTTTGGGAGGGGATTACCTTCCACTCCTCCCTTGAAACCTGTGGTATTAATATCCAAGGCTCTATTTGTATTGTGGGCTTCTTGGTATAAGGAGTTCCCACACACATATGCCTTTCTCTTGTAATCAAACTCAATCAAGTTACTATCCATGTGTTGTGGAATCATGGCTTTTGGTTAACATTGTGTGTGTGTGTGTGTGTGTGTGTGTGTGTGTGTGTGCAACCCTATTTCAGATAAGAGTGAGATTCATCTGATGCTAACTCCCTCCATGCCTTCCCCTATGTTTGTATATTCTTTTGAGAAAACATTAAGTGTGTCCCACCCCCCCCACTTCCATACTAGTGTATTCTTTTTGTTCTCTCTTCTCTTTCTCCTCATAAAACCCTCAGAACAAAATCAATTCACTCCATCAAGGACCTCTGTTTCTTTTCCTTCTTGTTTTTAATTTAATTCCCTCTATATTCTCTGACGACATAAGTTCCTAAAGGGAACTCTATTATTACTCTCTCTCTCTCTCACTATTATATGGTAGCACTACAACATGATACAGCTCCTTCCAAGCTCAAATAAATCTACCTTTCTAGGTTTCTTTTGACTCTTCTATTTTTATTTCAAAGTTTCTACTTAGCTCTGGTCTTTTCATCAGAAATGCTTGAAAATCCTCTAATCCTATTGAGGTCCATTTCTTCTCCCTGAAGGACTTTGTTCAGTTTTTGAAGTTAAGTTATTCTTGTTTGCAAGCCTATGTCTTTTTCCTTTTGGAATACCATATTCTAAGATCTCCTCTCTTTATATAGAAGCTGCTGGCTTTTGTGTGAAGATCCCGATTGGGATTCTTTGGTACTTGAACTGCTTCATTCTGGATGCTTGCTGTACTTTTATTTGACAATGGAGATCTGAATTTTGGCTATGACATTCCTGGGACTCTTCCTTTTGGAGTTTCTTTTCTGAGGTAATTGATAGATTCCATCTTCTCTTGCCCCCTGATTCTAACAGAATTAGGCAGTTTTCGTTCATGATTTCTTGAAAAATAGCATCCAATTTTTTTTTAATCATGGTTTTCAGAGAGTTCACTGATTTTTAAATTATCTTTTTGATCTGTTTTCCATGTCGATTGCTTATGATATCAATCATCGTACATTTTCTTCTATCTTTTCAATCTTTTGATTGTGTTCTAATATTTTTTGCTGTCTCATGGAGTCACTGATTTCTGTTTGGTTTATTCTAGTGTTCAGAGAGTCTGTTAATGGTGTAGTTTACCATGTTTCACTTCACTCACACCCGAATTCTCTTGGACCATTAGTTTTAAAAAGGCTCAGTATCTTTAACAAGCCAAAAAATGGTCCATAAAGTTTTCCATGGAAGTAAAAATATGAAAATCACATTCCTCTGTAGGATGCACTCCTGACTCATATCCAAAGGACTTTCTCTATTACCATGTCATAGAAACCTCTTCACTCTGCAAGTGCATTTAACCCTGGACTACTTATTTACAATGGAAGTACCTCCTGAGGCATCTCCCTCTGATTGGCTAGTTGCTCCTAGAACCTCCATTTTAAGAAGGTGGCCCAGGGAAATCATGTCTTCCTCTCCAAACTACCCTCTTGGCTCATCTCAATTGGACTTTCTCCATTATGCCCCTATACCAAGTACTTTCATCCCATCACCTCTTTTCAGCACTCTTTTACAACTTGTCATCCCCCATCAGAATGTAAGCTCCTAAAATCAGAGACTTTCTTTTTGCTTGTCTTCTTATTCTGAGTGCTTAGCACAGTATCTGGCACACTGTAATTACTAAATAAATGCTTGCTGAATGATTGATATATTCCACCACCGATCCCAACTATTTGTAGACCTATTTTCATCCTGGAATAATAGAGAAAATTTTTCTATAAAGTTTATGCTACCAAAGTTAAACTTGATTATAAGTATTTTATATTTGATCCTATTTTGACTAAAACTTGTCATTTCTCCAACAGAACATTCTTGAGGGCAAGGATTGTTTCATTTTTGACTCTGTATCCTCAGAGCCTAGAACAGAGCTTTGCACATGATGGGCCCTTAATGTTTATTAAATTTAATGTATATCTCCCAAATTCACATGTTAGAATTTCAATACTTAATCATAAATTGAAAATATTTGGCTAAAAAAAATAATTAATTCAACATACTATGCTTTAAATTAAGGCTACATTACAACAGTATAAGTATCATGAACCTCTAGATCTTGAATGATACAGAGCTAAGCAATACCCATAACTACCACAGATGCCACTGACATGCCTAAGGTACACGCAGTCGTATAAAAGAGAAAGAGATAAAGCAAAAAAAGGGAATAGGAAAAGAGAGTAAAAGGAAAAGAGGAAAAACAAAGATGGAAAAAGAGAACTGAGAAAGGAACATTAACAAATACCTCAACTGAAATAAACTGCACTAGAATCACAGCATTCAAACCACAATCCAAAACTCAAGAAAACAGCATGGATGAAAACTTAATGTGTAAAGTTAAGAGATTTCAATGAACTAAAGAGTATACTTACGCACTAGAAACACAGCTTTTTGTTCCCGAGCTATCACCATGAGATCATTAGTTGGAGATAAGGATAAAACACAATCTTGAAGCCAATACGATTTTTGAGTTTTGCAAACAGTCTCTTCTTCTTCCTGTTGAGGGAAAAATTAGTTGTTATTTGCATGCATCCTCAACAGTGATACACTGAATAGGCCTCTTCTCTTTGAGTCCCATGTTCCAAGCTTCATTATCTCTCCACTCACCTACCTATATCCCATTCTCTCTAGGCTATGTTCTTGATTTTCCAAGGTGACAAACAGCAAATCTACTGAAATAATCAGTCAACTGTATATTTATTAAACACTTACTATGTGGCAACACTGTGTTAAGCAAAAAGGAAAAAAAGAAAGGTAAAGATAGTCTCTGTCTTCAGGGACCTCCCATGCCAGGAAACAACATGTAAATAAGTCAATTAGTCAGTCAATAAGACCACAAATATTTCTTAAGTGCTAATTATTTGCCAGCTACTGTCCTAATTCTAGGTATACAAAGAACAAAGAACGTTCCTGCTCTCAAGGAGTTCACATTCTAATGTTCATATAAGTTATGGCAATATAAATGGAAAGTAAAGTCAGAGGGGAGGTATCAGAAAGGACTGGGTTAGGGGAAGACATATAGGTAATCGAAATATCAAGAGCATGACCATCTCTATGTATAGTTTAAGTAGAATGGAAGAGTAAGTCATGGTAATGGAGTAGACTGAGCAACTGGAAAGGTAGGGTATTTAAGGGAGTATTAATATGCATACTGAGATCTCTTAATATGAGGGCAGGAGTTGGGGTGTAAATAAAGACTCTTAAGATAACCACTAGAACCAGGAAAACATTGTACATAGTAATAGCAACATCATGCAATGACCAACTTTGATAGATTTAGCTCTTCTCAACAATGCAATGATTTAAGACAATTCCTAAAGATTCATGATGGAAAATGCTATCCACATCCAGATAAAGAACTATGGAGTCTGAATGCAGAGCAAAACATACTATTTTTCCTTTTTTTCCCCTCTTTCTTTCTTGTGGTTTTTCCCTTTGGTTTTAATTCTTTACAACATGACTAATGTGGAAATGACGTTTAATATGATGGTATGTATGGCCTATATCAGACTACACACCATCTTAGGGGGAATGGAGAGGAAGGAGGGGGAGAAAATTTAAAATTCAAAATCTTATAAAAGTGAATGTTGAAAAATAAAAATAAAAAAAAAGATAGCTATTAAATTCAGTGAGGAAGGAAGGAGAATATACGAGTTAAAGGGCAAGCTGTACTAAAAGGGTGGTAGGGATGCAGTGTCAATATAAGTTAGTCATGTGATAGTGTCAGAAGATGGAAAGGAGTGAAAAAGGAAAAGATTTAAGATGAAAGAAAGTTTCTTAATTATAGGGTAGACATTCCATAGAGCATAGCAGGAGGGGTGGGCAGATCTGAAGTGTGATGCTAAAGGGACAGGGTTTAGAAGGATGGGATTAAGGGACCAGGCAACTGGAGAAACGGAGAATGGGGTTTGTACATTAGCAGCCAGGGGTTCAGAATCACTGGGAAGGTGTTGTTTACTAATCACTGAGGAAAGAGTCCAGGCAGGTTTCCAGTGATTGAGAAAAGGTCTACTGAGGAAGGACAGGTAGATTGTCCAAGGTCCTGTTTCAAGGTCCAAACTCATGGCAGGTGTTACTATGACCTTTGAGGCAGGCCCACCTTTCAGCAAGCAGGAATAAGTGGAAGGTTGACTTTAAAAGAGTCCAGTCAGGAGGCAGGAGTTGGAACTAAAGGGTGCAAAAGAAGTGGGGGAGGGGTATTGGATGTGTACTGGTGGGAAATGGCCTCGAACTAGAGACATTCTGCAGTGAAGGCAGATCTGGAGAGCACAAGGTGGGAACTCAGAGGCAAAGGTGAGAAGAGACAGCATTCCAGGCATAGGGGACAGGCAGTGCAAAGGTTTGGAGATAGACAGTGACTTTTACAAGGAACAATAAATAGGCCAGTGTTGCTAGAATATAGAATGGGTGGAGGAGAGTAAAATGTAAGAAGACTAGAAAGGTAAGACGGGGATAAGCTGAATAACAAACAAAAGATCTTATTCTGGAGGTAACAGGGAGCCAATAGAGTATAAAACTCTTTTTTTTAAATTTTTTAAATTTTTTTATTTTTCAACACTCACTTTTATAAGGTCTAAACTTTAGGAAAAACTTTAGCAACTCAATGGAAAAGACTGGAGGAAGGAGAGAGGAGGAGGAAAACCAATTAGAGGGCTACTGCAATAGTTCAGGCAAGAAGGTTAAGGACCAATACAAGGATGGTGGTCACGTGAAGAGAGAGAAGGGGATGTATATGTGTATATAGACATACATACATATATAGATGTATATATGTGAGTAGATATAAACATACACACAATATATATGTATATGTCTGTACATATAATATCTAGCATACTTATTTATATATACATACATAAGAGGTATTGTAAAAGTTTTCTTTCTACAACACACTCTAGAGATAGATTCTATATGTGGAGTGAGAATTGTCTGTTAACTATTACCATGTTACCTTAACCTTACCACATTTGTATTTTAATAGTAAAGTGCCTTAATCCAAAGGGCATTTCAGACCATAAGGCTAGTTGGTTGGGGAAATATTCTAAAGATACAGTCCCTTCAGCTGTACGTAAGGCAAATTTTGCTCCTAGACCCTCAAGTAGAGTTTATAGGATTAGAGATTTAAAGCTGGAAGGGACTTTGAAACCAGCGAATCCAATATCCTCATTTTACAGCAGGAAACAGAGGCTTTGGGAGGCTGACTTGCCCAGAATCACACAGTAAGTATCAAAGGTAGAATTTGAACCCAGGTCCTCTTGACTCCAAGCACAGTATTTTCCCCACTATACCACAATGCCACCTCCATTGCTAAGAATAACAGCATTTAAGTTTGCAGTCTAGCCCACATAGCCTATTTAACCCATAATAAAGGATAACGCATTTGAAATAGTAGACAACTTCCAAAAAGTAATGTAAAATAATACTGTAGGTCAGGTGAAAGAGCTAGAAGATTGCAGAATATAGAGGCAGGCCAGATGGTAAGGCCTGATGGTCCTGTAACTCACTGGAAGAAATAGAGTTCTTGGTTCTGATCTCATTCAAGACGAACAGACTCAAGCAGACGGTGGAAAGCAGAGACAAAGGAACCAGGGATGGTAAATCTTCCTACTAGAAGTTAACATTTGTATAATACTGCACAACTATTTCACATACATTAGGCATCTGACCTTCAAAACACGCCTTTGAAGTAGGCAGTTCAAGTATTACTATCTTCGTCTTACAGAAATGGAAACTGAAGTTAGGAGAAAGTCCCTCAGGTTCATAAGCTCTGCATCATCCTGGACCCCTCACTATCCTTCATCTCACAAATTAAATTAGCTGGCATTTCTAAATCAATATGATCTCTTGCATCTGACCCTTGCATTGTACTGTACTCATACAGCCACCACTTTAGTTCAGGCTCTCATTATCTTTCCTAGATTATAACAACAGTCTCCTAACTGGCTTCCGTGCCTCAAGTTCCTTTCTACTCCAGTCTATCCTCCACACAGCTGCCAAAATGATTTTTCTAATTTGCATCTCTGATCATGTCATTTTCCTACTTTAAAAAAGTCTAGTGTATATCTCTAAGATACAATATAAATTCCTCTGTTTAGCTTTTAAAGCCCTTCAAATCTGGCCCAGGTATATCTTCCTAGCATCACTGAACATCACTCTCCCTTCTATACTCTGGAATACGACCAAACTGACCTCTCTGCTCCTCACACACAGCACTCCCTCTCATTTCTCTGTGCATTCAGCAGTAACCATCTTTGACTGCTGAAATGTCCTCTCACTCCTCATCTCCCTTTCAGAGAACGTTCTCTTTCTTTAAGACATAACTCAAGCACAACTTTTCTACATGAAGCCTTTCTTAATCTCAACTACTAATGCCCTTCTTCCTCACCTTATATTGATTATCTTCATATTTTTCTGTATTTATTTATCTATTTGTGATCTCCCCAATAAGAATGTAAATTCCTTGAGAAGACTGCTCCATTACTTATCTATTTGTGATCTCCCCAATAAGAACATAAATTCCTTGAGAAGACTGCTCCATTCTTTGTATTTGTATCTCCAGTGCCTGACACATAGTAGGTGCTTAATAAATGTTTATTGATTCAACCAATCAAGAAACTTTTATTAAGTGTCTTCTGTGAGCAATTGATTTACTGTGAAATTAAGTCACTTGCCCAAGGTCACAAAGATATTAGGAAATATCAGTGACAAGACTTGAAACCAAGTTTTCTGACTTCAAGCTTAGTGTTTCTTATATCAACAATATATGACATATTATAAAGTAAAAACTAAATATACAATATTTATTAATTACTAGTTGAATTCTTCAATGTTTGTACTTAAACTTAACACATTTGATTATCTGGATAACATTCGTTTTTCTCATAGGTTCAAAAACAGCTATAGTACAGTAAGCTAAGTTTAAAACAAATAAAATTTGTTGTTAATGATCTTGTTCTGTTACTTAATATTCAGTACAATGATTTATGTGGTAAATATTTATTAATTCAAGTATGAGTGAACCCTTAAATGAAACAGCATTTATTAAGAGCTTACTATGTGCAAAACACTTGGCTAAGCACTGGGGATACAAACAGAAAGGCAAGACAAGAAGTTAGATTACTGAATCTGAGGTAGGTCCAGATCAGGGACATATTATCTTTTAAATGATAACAGACTACCACAACTTTACCTGAAAATCTGCTTGGTCTAGAACTTTAAGTCAAGCTGGCACCAAGCTCTGCCACAATCTCAAAATACAATTAACATATTGGGAGCAAAAATCCCACAAATTAGTAAAGCAAATGAATGTTTCACTACCTCAACAGCATCCAAAATAGTTAAAGACATCTTTGATGCCTGTTGCTAAGAAGGATGTACAAAGAAACAAATTCAGAAATCATAGACTACATCCCTATTTCACAAAAACGGGGGAATGGTACTTGGCACACAGTAGATGACCAGCTGACCAGACAAAAGATTCGCTGATGATTCTAAGC